ATAAGACTCCATTCAGGACCCCTAAACTTAAATCTAGCACCCTATTGATCTGATCTGAATAAAACTTCTCAAAAAACCTAATAATTTCCCTCTCAATACTACCATCATCCTCAATTATCGACCCATCGTCAGGCTCCATTCCTCATTCTGTTTCCATTCGCCGCCTTATGAAAAAATTTAGTATTATTATCTCTTTCTTTTACCCACCAAGCTCTCTCCTCTCTTTTTAACGCTTCTTCGAAACCCCCTCCTTCAACCTCATTCGCCTCATCAATCCTATCAAAAATAATTCTTTTTGCTTCTCGAATGTCCCAACATACCTCTTTATTCCACTCTCTCAATCTATGTTTTATTATCTCAAGTTTGTTCATAAATCTAAATTCTTGTCACCCCAGTACCCTTTCCTCTCCCCACCATTATCTTATTCTTTCCTTCAACTCTATATGTTCCACCCACATATTCTCATACCTAAACAATCAAGGACCCCATTTAAACTACAATGCCTTCTGTCTCATCCCACGAAAACAATCTTCCCACCCTATAGACTACAAAAATCTATCCAACTTTTTACACAGCTTAACTGTCCTACCATTAGATCATGTAAACACTCCATTTGCCAAAGGGGGACCTAACAAAAGAAGTAAACATGAAGTGTTGCAAAAGACTAGGATAGGAAGCAAAATGGAATGTACCGGATTTTTAGCACATACAACCGTCAAACCAGAGACCAAAGCAGGCTCGACAAAACATAAAGTATCATAGGACGTTGTCCTTCCTTGAAAATGGAACTTTCATGCTGGAGCAAGAAGTAGCATCCCTAAGCTTGGTTTCCCTAATAAAAGAATCAAAATCTTTCAATANATCATAGGACGTTGTCCTTCCTTGAAAATGGAACTTTCATGCTGGAGCAAGAAGTAGCATCCCTAAGCTTGGTTTCCCTAATAAAACAATCAAAATCTTTCAATACTTTTTGTTGTTCTACCCTTCATTCATCCTCTCCCTTGGACACCTTGTAACATTAAAATATCCCCCTATACACCANCTCTCCCTTGGATACCTTGTAACATTAAAATATCCCCCTATACACCATCTATGACCTCACACCCCATATAGCCCTAATTTTTTCCACAATGAGACCCTAATCCTAGGCTGGTTAGGCCCATAAATACCAGTAAACCACCAGCCATAGCCCTCCCTGCTTAACCCTAATTGAAACAGTAAATTCCCACTCAAGAGTTTCTTCANCTGTAAACCACCAGCCATAGCCCTCTCTGCTTAACTCTAATTGAAACAGTAAATTCCCACTCAAGAGTTTCTTCCATGCTTATAGATCTCTTGTCCCGAATGATGACAATACCACGTGTACTCCGACAAAAAATAGAAAAACCCAGTTCTAGAACCTAGACCACAAACACTACTAAAGACTCTTATCAATGACCTCCAACTTTGTTTCTTGTAAAGTAACTATATCTGTCCCAATTCTTCCCAAAAACTCCTCCATTGAAAACCTTTTCGCACATGACCCTAATCCTCTGGCATTCCAACTTAACAATCTTTATAAGAAACTACATAGATCCCTCCCCCACCTTTCTTACAACTATCACCCTCATAATTTATCCCTAACTCTAAATTTTTTAACTCTCCCACTCCCTTTCTCTTCCTCTCATTTCTGCATTCATTTTTTTGCTTCCCTTGTTTTTTTTATGGAACTAGAGACAAATCCATTTTATATAAAAAATTCTTTAACACAACCCATTTTTCCACGTCCGACAAAACACATTCATTATATTAGCCCTACATCTCTCACCTATTCCCTCTCTATTCCTTTCACCCTTAAAGCTCACTATTTCCCCCAGTTGTCACGGCATCAGAGTTCACCCTCAAAGCTCAGTACATTATTTTTTTTGCTCCCCCCCCCCTTTTTTTGATGGAACTAGAGACAAATCCATTTTATATAAAAAATTCTTTAAAACAACCCATTTTCCCTCATCCGACAAAACACATTCATTATTATCCCTATCTCCTTCCTCGATTCCCTCTGTACTCCTTTCACCCTCGAAGCTCACTATAGCTCTAGTTGTCACTACATCAGAGTTCATTGGACCAACATTAATTATGGGATATCTATCATCAATTTTGAATATATTGGATCACAGGTAGTAATAAGTGGAACACCTAATAAACCAGGTTCACACAGACACCGCAAATGTCTATTCTCCCCATGGACCTGAATTAGCTACATCACAGTTTGTGGAAACCAATTCTTTCCTATACCCATACTTCACTGAAGATAACATCGCCATTTTCTCACTTAATTCCATGTCATTCCAGCAACACAATCAGACCCAGAACCAATACGGATATTGACACTCCCACCCTTGAAAAATTAAAATCACCAAAATGAACACCGACATTGACACGCCTGTCCCCAGAAAAAAGAACAACCCTAGGAGAAACCATCAGTGGTTTTTTTTAGGAAATATTACCTTCTAAAGTACAAGGAAAAGCATTGCAAATTACCTTAGATTCGTGATGGAGTATCATATTACCTTCTTCTTGAACAGATATCAACTTATCATCGGTAAATATTCTCGCAATATCACCATATACCTCATCAGTCTGTATTTTTCTCTCGTTATCAATATCACAGCAATATAATGAATCCTCCAAACTCTTCTCCAACTCAGCATTGTCATACCACTCTCTCGCAGCAAGCATAGCATCGCTGCAATATTTGTAACCAAACCAAACCAATCCAAGACTTATGTCCCAATCATTTTAGGTCGGCTATATGAGTTTGTCTTCGCCATTCATTTCTATCATGTGCTATACACTCATTTAAGTTAAATATTTTTTTATTATTTTTTTCAATGTTAATTTAGAATTATCCTTACTTTTGGTACTATTAAGAGAAATTCTATAACTTTTTCGAACTAGTGCCTGAGCTACTCCTACCATTTATCTAATAGTACTATTTCGTATTCTATGCTTTCTAGTTTTTTCACACATCTAACATAACATTTTCATTTTCGCTACTCATTTTGTCACTATGTTGTTTCCCAGTAACCCAATATTTTGTCCCATACAACATTGCTATCCTTATAGTTGTTCGATAAAACTTATCTTTCAATTTTATTGGTATCTTTCTATCACCTAATATGCCTGAGGTTTTTCTCCACTTAAGCCAACTGACGTTAATTCTATGAGTTACATCATCTCCAATCTCTTCATCATTTTTAATGATCAATCCTAGAATATTTAAATCGTTTATTCATTGGTATTTTTTGATTTTCAATCTTAACTTTTTCACTATGTCTACTTCTTCTATTATTAAAATTGCATTGCATATATTCAGTTTTACTCATACTTATTTTAAACCCTTTAGACTCGAATATCTCTATCCAAATTTTTAGCTTATTGTTAATCCCCCTTCCAGTTTTATCTACTAATACAATATTATCTGTAAATACTATATGTCGTGGGACATCATCTTGAATGTGCCTAGTGAGGTAGGTATGGACTTAGGGCCAATCCTTGGTGTAATCCCACCGTGATTGGAAACTCTTTACTTTCTCTTACGGAAGATCTAATTGTAGTTATAACTCCGTCATACATATCCTTTATCTCCTCTATATCTATTCATTATTCTTTTTCTCTCAAGCACCCTACATATTACATTTCTACACACTTTATCATACCCCTTTTCTAAATCTATAAATACCATATGGAGATTTTTCTTCTTCTCTCTATATTTTTCTATGAGTGTCCTCAATAAATATATAGCTTCTGTAATTGATCTATTAGGCATAAACCCAAACTGATTTTCCGAGACTGTAGTCTCAACTCTTAGGCGACGTTCAATGACCATTTTTCATAGTTTCATTGTATGACTTATCAATTTTATCCCTCTATATTTATTACAATTTTGAATATCTCTTTTATTTTTATAGATAGGTACTAAAATACTCTTTCTCCATTCATTTGGCATTTTTTTAGTACCAATAATTCTATTGAATAATTTCGTTAGCCAGAACACCCCATCATTCCCTAACCACTTCCAAACTTCAATTGGAATCTCATCTGGTCCTAAAGCCTTGCCTAATTTCATTTTCTTCAATGCAAATTCTACCTCCGAATTCTTTATCTTACAAAAGAATGTTTCATGAATCCTACCATTTTCTATTTCTTCTAAGTTTCCTAAGTGATTTTTATTTAACAGTTTCTTCAAATAGCTTTTCGCCTTTGAGTCTTCACCATTGATGCACTTAACTTGGTTAAAGTCTTTTATTTTCTTTTCTCTAATTTTAGCTTGTTTATAAATGTCTTTTGATCCCTCTTTACTATCTAATTTTTTTGTACAATTCATCGTAAGCTTTTAAACTTAGCATATCGAACTATCTTTTTTACTTCCTTATTTGCTAATTTATATCTTTAGAAGTTCTTGCAGCAAACTTCTTCATCTTCTGAAAGCAAATGTATGTGTCTCTGTCCATCCATAATGTCGAAACGGACTTCAAAATCTTCCCTCTAGCTTTGCCAACCATCGCAGATCTCCTCTCCGACTATAGCCCCTTTTTCACTACTTCCTTTGCCCCTTGTCAACTCTGCCTTGGCTAAGGAGATCCTATCAGAAGCTCCAATCCCCCCTTTGCTCGACGATTAGCTTCAGCAACCTTAATCATCAGTTTTCGACTTTAAGGAGAGCCTTTGCTTCGTCTACGGAGAGACCCCCCTTTGCCTGTGTGAGAAAGCCCTATCATTTGAGCTCTCCCCAACAAACAAACGTTTGTGGACCAGGCCTCTACAATTCTGTAAAACCCTCTTAAATTAAAACGGCCCACCTTACCAAGCCCATTAGTAAAAACATTTGTTTCCATCCCATTTGTTTCTTTATCTCAGCCCACCTTTCTTCCTTAACAAAACCTTTCGTGATTCATCCCCTCTGCCTTATCCTTAATTAACTCAGATTTTGAATTCAAATTACATTTCATATTTGAATTATCCTTGTCAAATATTTTCTGTTGGAAATCAGCAAGATTAATGGCACTGATCCAGTCATCAGAATTTTTTTCAATCAAACCAAATCTTTGCATTTATTGTGGCCTTGTCTTTCTCCTATTGACACGTAATCCCCCTTTGTTTGCAGCTCATTTTTGGCTGATTTATTTTCCAATATGCTAGTTTCAACAACTCTCATCTTCAACCTTTCACCCAATGCACAAAATCTCCGTACTACCTTCGCCTTGTAGTATTCCTTTCTCCTTTTGACTGAACATTCTTGTTTTCTTCAACATTCGTAGAAAAAAAATGTCTTTGTCTACTTGGAAAGGCTGTAGATGAATCTTTATTTTTAAAGCCTGTACTAAGCATGCCTGGGAGTACACAAATGAACTTGCTTTAACACATACCACAACTCACCTCCATTTAACCTCTTCTTTAAGCATATTTTCATACCCCTTAACATTTGCAGGAGTATTTTCCTTATGCATCTCAGCCCATGCCCCATTTTCTTGCTCTTTGACTCTACATTTTGATACCACCATCAAACTTTGATTTTCTTCTTCTTGTATCAGAGTATTCCTTCCACCTGAAA